AAGACAGCAAAGCTACCTACCACCAAAGGTGGGTGGTGGTGGCAGGGCTCGAACCTCGACCCGTACTCACAGATCAAGATAGAAATGCTTCAATCGCAGCTCCAATTCACCACGTTTTAATTTTCTATTCGGCCGGCGTTCATCTGCTTTATTGTTAGATGCATTGCAAACTATCCAGTTGAAGTCTTTTTACGGTCTACTACTCCAAGCCCCGGCTAATGATTACATTTGTGTNTTTGTGTTTTAATCCGTTGTTGTCGTATGCAAAGAAATTAAATGACATTGCTTAAGTTCCATTGAAATTCGAAAAATCCGATTACGTTCGCTTTCATCAAAGTCCGCAGCGCTACGAAAACACTGGTTAAATGCTCTCGTTATTCTGGATGCGGTGACCTTACTCATCGTATTTACCTCTCCTGTGCTGTGTACATGACACCGTACCCATCACTCTATGCAATTTAAGCTTTTGTTTAACGCTTAGACTGGAATTCAAGGTTGTCTTTACTAGACTGCTATTGCAACACTGGCCTCGTTCTCTCTCTCTGGTCGCTCCATCCGGATCGTCCAATTCGACGGCACGTAATGTGGATGAATCGATTTGTTTCGGCTGGAGGTCACGTCCTTTTCGCAATCAGATGAGGACCGCAAAACGCACCAACAAACTAACTACGGTCATTCATCCACCCATTCCGCTGTTTACAGGTGTTTGTGTGCATAAGAATGATGACAAAAACACGGAGGTGATCAAGGTCTGATCGCTTTGATGCACTCAGAGAGCTGTTCAGGAACGGGTAGTCGAGATGAATATTTTGAATTTGGCGGTTTTCAATGCGTTGATTTGTCACACCTGGTGGACCATTTATCTGAATACATGGCAAAGCCTACTAGTAGGAAAGTAGTAGGTTGCGTTGAATTCTGTCTGGGTTTGGTACCATTTCGGGCAGTTCAAATTGGCTCACTTTTTACAGCATAAAATAAATCTATGGAACCATGATAAAAAATACTGGGATTTAGATGTGGCAGACACAGAAATCTTATCAGTTTTATTTCCGAATATCAGTCAGTTTTACCAAGGGGCCAGCTAGTTTCAGTTTCAGTTTGTACAATCATTAACCATACACTATCGTGCGCCGGTTTTGGTTGCTGTCTTTTGGTGCCCCATTTAGATGAATATTACAAGAAAGACAGGAAAGGTTAAAAGTAGGATCGAAGAGAAAACCTAGGATTTCACTGCACTAATTTTGCAGAGAAATCGACAAAATGCACAAACGCCACTGTTTACGACACCCAGCCATATCACTCAGTGTCTCTAACCATCGGGTAGGATCATCCCAGACTCCTGGTTAGGGTTTTCATACTCTCGTGCCAGGTCTCAGTTTGACCCCGCTTGACTTTTTTTCACCCACTACCTGCCTCGGCGAACATCGCTCACCGTGGCAACCCATCTGGTGACATGCGTAACACATGCCCCAACCAAAGTAATCAATGGAGATCGACCACTTGCTCCAGTGGGCGACCGCATTTACCTAAAACTCTGTGCCTAACCTCAGCATTCATTGCTCGTCCGGCTGCCCCACCAGATTTGGGCAATGCCGCGTAGACAGCGGTGTTCAAACAACGACAGCTGACCAGATAGCAAAATTTATCTACTTGCTCCGACTAATGCGAAAATACTTGTTCCCCTCCACCTAAAAGAGATTCTTTTGACAACTGAGCCTCCTCTCTTCATCGACGTTCAATTCAATGTTTAACAACTATCAGCCGATCAGGCTAGACGCCTTTCTTGGTTTTATCACAAGTTAAACTCAAACCAAAATTTCCACACCAATGGTCATGAAGAGACCTAAGAGACCAAAGCGATGAGTCGCTTTATTCAAAATACCGGTTTATTTTATTCGGTGGAACCAACCACAAAACGATCACTATTCCAAAAGTTAAAGCCTTTGAGACTGTCCTTAAGCAATAGATTGCCATAAGTAAAGTTGTTGAGGAAAACGAAACCATTCACCCACCTATATAATTCGTTGTCTAATCTCGGTCGAAACAGATCTAGTTTCCCTGTTACACCATTTTGGTCTTGAGTGGATCTCAACTCCAAATGCCAGTGCTTAGGTTTCCAGTTTCCACAATCGAACAGCTGTTCTTAAGGGTGATGAAACTCGCTCGTTTTTCTGCTCACCACAATTAAGTTCGTGACTTTTTTCAAATACTCAAAGGCGTATCCGGTGGTAAATGACGTGCTGATTCAGCCAGATAAGCACAAAAGTAAATCGTTTCGGTTTGGTGTTAGTTACCATTTAGATCAACCAT